CCTTACTGCCCAATGCTATTTTTCTGGTACCAGATTTACCTTTCCTGTCCCACCCCAAACACACCCCAATTTATATATCTGAAAATATACTCATTCATGGCTCGAGACCAGACTTTAGCTAATATTCACAACAGTAAAGAATAAAGCACATACTCACAAAATTTTATTCTATTTACATGGTGTGGTGGAAGGAGCAAAATATTTGAAGTCAGAGAACGTGGGTTTCAGTTCCATGTCCTTCCTAAAATGTTATGTTTAACTTCAGATCACATTAGCATTTTTGGTAGTATTGTGTAGTAGAACCTGAGTGAATGTGGGTTTGAATACTGCTTCTGATTTATTAGCTGTGTGACCTTGGTCAATACCCCCTTCTGTGCCTTAGTTTCCTCATCTGTAAAATGAGATAATCTTTAAGGTCCCTTCCAGATTTAAATGTATGAGGCTATGATGCTATGGCAAAATTTTTGAGACCTTGATTATTCATTCAATTAACAAGCATTTGTTAGTGTCCTATGTAAGGAACTAAAAAGACAAAAGAAAAAAAAAACAATCCTTACCCTCAAGAAGTCTTCCTGAGAAGGAATATAATGTGGAGACAAAAAAAGCGAATAGAAAATGTGCACAAAATTAATGGCACAATAGGTAGAGTGCCAGACCTGGAGTCAGGAAGATTCATCTTCGTGAGTTCAAATCTAGCCTTAGACACTTACTAGCAGTATGACCCTAGCAAATCACTTAACCCTGTTTACCTCAGTTTCTTCATCTGTAAAATGAGCTGGAGAAGAAAAAGGCAAACCACTCCAGCGTCTTTGCCAAGAAAACCCAAACGGGGTCATGAAGAGTCAGACATGACTGAAACAACTGAACAACTACAACAATAGGCTGGAGAAAGCCAGAACAAGTGTGTGAGATCGAGAAAGGCCCTGCGCACTTCAGCAGGACCTAGAAGCAAGCTAGCTATTCTTGGAGACGGAGATGGGGACAGAGGGGAGGATATTCCTGGCTTGGGGTTCAGCCTTTAGAAATGTTCAAATATTGAGAGTTGAAATGCTGTGTATACACAATAGCAGGTGGTCTGGTTTGGCTAGAATATAGAATATATGAAAGGAGAGACTATATAATAAGACTTGAAAGGTAGTCTGAAGTCATACTGTGACAAGCTTTAAAAGTCAGCTAAATTTGTGCTTTGCTCTGAAAGTAATAACAAGCCATTAGAGTTTCTTGAGCACAGGAGTGACATGGTCACATTTTTGCTTTAGAAGCATCACTTTGGCAGCTATGTGGATAATAGAATGTAAAAGAGATACAGTTGAGGCAGGAAGTCCAGTTAGGAGTTTACTGCCATAGTCTAGACAGGAAGCAATGAGGATCCAAACTAGGTTGGTGATCAAATGAGTAGAAAGGAGATAGTAAGATAGAGGTTGGGGGTATCCTTGTTAAGCGAAAGCTACTGACTGCATTTCAATTCAGGAAGATGTGCCTAGAAAATTACTTCATGTGGTCATGTGATCACAACTCTAAGTTACAAGAGAAATTGTAGGGCAGAGGAGAAAGAGTAGTACATTTCTCAACTGTCATTCAGAAAGGGAATGCCAGTGGTCACCGGAGCTGTCCATAGCTGAAACTGAGAGAGAGAAACAAGGTGGGTGGGATCAGCTTAAAATGATGCTTGATTTTAGATTTGCAAAGTGTGTTACGTACATTATCTCACTTGATTTTCACAGCCTTGTGAGATAGGAGCTGCTATATCAGCCCCATTTTACAGGTGAGGAAATTGATGTTCAGAGAAGGTGATTTGTCCAGGATCATACAGCTAATAATTGGCTGAGGTAGAATTTCAATGAAAGTCTTCCTGACTCCAGCTCCACTATAGAATAGGGGAGTTACCTATCCTTTCTGAGCCCCACTTTCTTCATGTATAAAATGAGAATAATTATACTTTCCCTTCCCATTTGATAGGATTTTTGTGAACATCAAAAAAGATCATGTATGTGAAGACTCTATAAAACTGCAGAGTAATTGACAAATGTAAGTAACAAATTTTACCAGTGCAAATTATTATTGTTACTAATGCAGAGAACAGTAAATAACTAATTAAACCAAAGACTATCAGTATAAGCTAAATACCAAATCACATTTGTTCATCCATAAGCATGTCTATTGAACTTCTCCTGGTTACATTTTGGAATCCCAAATCCCAAAGAGTTTCTTCAAGCTGAAAAGGCTACCAGTATCTTTCATGCAAAGAAAGAATTATTTCGGTAAATACAGTTTTGCCATTTCCAGTACTCCATTTTTCCCTTAGTAAAAGGCACACACAAACTCCCGTCATCCATCTTTTTTACACAGTCAGTTTCTGCCACCCCAAAGCCTCCCTCGCAGCTTCAAGCTTATATGACATTCCCCTACTGGCATTGACAGGAGTGAAGTTCAATCACCAGTATGCTGTATTTGGTGGGTAGGGAAGGAGAAAGTCTTCATTATTAGAGAGGATGCCAAAACTGCAGGTCCTAAATACCTGACTCTTTTAGTGTTGTTTTGTGTTTTCTCAAACCCGTGAAGGCAACCTATAAAAGTTTGCCTATGGCTGTTTCCAGAGAATATATCCAGGTGAGGGCTAGAATACAATGGCGTGGGGAGCAATTTCACAATTGCTAATAAGCAGTATTTGGGAAATGCTTTTCTTGAATTCACAATTTCATCTTTAAAATGGCTCTCATGATGGAAACAGATTATTTCTGTAAAGACAGGCAGAAAATAAACCATAATCCAAACCCTTTTTCTCAGAGGCTGAATTCATCTACCATTAACTACAAAGAGAACCAGAGCTCTGAGAGAATATCTGAGGGTCTGAGAAGATCCCAGTTTTTGTCCCGCAGAAATTGGCTGACCCTCCAATGATAACTTTTCCCCTTCTTACCTCACACAGCACTTTAATTTGAACCTTTCTCATTCATGTATAATATATTGTTTTCCATTAGTATTATCTATGCTTGTATCTTGCCTCCCTACTGGACTTTAAACTCCATGTGGGCAGAAACCAGATCTTATTTAAATTTTGTATAGACTACAGCACCTAGAACAGTGCTCTGTTTACAATCCCCATTTCATAAATGTTAGTTGAACTAAATGGAATGGAATAGAATTCTATAGTATGACCCCACCCTCTCTGAAATTCCCCCATGATGCCCCAATGTAAACCCTCTAGCTGTCTCCAAGACATGGTACAATCATTCTCAAGTTCATGGCTTTTGATAATTTCCTTCTGTCTGGAAGCTCATTTTTTTTCTCTTTTGCCTGTCTAAATTCTATACACACTCCAAAGTTCTGCTCAAATTACCCTTCCTCCATTGTTTTCTTCAACCATCATATCCAATATTGAAGGAATTTTCTAAACTCCTAAACCACTTAATCATTTACCCCATAGCACAGAATGATGAAAAGGACTTTAGGGATCATGTAGAGCACCTCTCTTATATTACAGATGAGGAAACTAAGGCCCAGAGTATATTGCAAAAAGCCTTCAGTTAGAATCAGGAAACCTGGGTTTAAGAAGCTGTAAATAATACTGATGATAACAATAATAACAGCTAGCATTTATGTAATGCTTCAAAATTTGCAAAGGACTTTTACAGGAATATTACCTCATCTGATCCTCACAACAATCCTGGGAAGTAAGTGTTATTATTATCTTCATTTTAAGGATTAGAAAAGTGAGACAGACAGAAGCTAAATGACCCCAAGAGTAAGCTTATGAGAGTATTTGCATTTTTTAAAAGGACCATTTAATGTAAGAATATTTTTAAGACCTAACGAAAGGATGCAAAAGGAAAGAATAAGCTTGGTTATTGTTTGGTAGCAGAAAGTCCTGCTCAACATCCCTGGAATCATGTTACATAAGCCACTATTGTTTGTGTCTAATGAATCACCCCCAGAAATATTTATTGAGCCCCTCGATGAATAAAGCATTATGCTAACTGTTGTGAGGGATCAAAGAAAGATCAGGTACCGTCCTGCCATCTCTAAATTGGTGGTAAAGATAAGCTAAGGTGAAATACAAGTGTCCAATGTTTCATTTGTTCAAATACAGCCTCAGTCTTAGAGACATAACCTCCACCTAAGGCACACTAAATCTTCTTAAGCTTTTCTACCATCCTCAAGCCTTACGCTGACTTTGATGTAAGCTTTTAGCTTTCGTGTGTATGTAATATGAAATTTGAGATTATAACAGCATAAAAGAAGAGAAACTTATCATGAATAGAGACTGAAAAATCACTAGTTAGTAATTACCTTTACAGTAGTAGAGACCATTGTAGATGAGCCATAAGCTCAAATGGCTGTCAGTACAAAGTTCACCTAGATTTTCTTCAGTCTAGCTTCAACTAAAGAATCCTTCTTCAAATGGTCTCCTTTTCCTAACGTGCATAATGCCACCCTTCAATACTTCTGTGATTTACATAGATAAGGGCACTCCATCTAACAATGCATATCAAAACTTATCCATGCACGCTCATCCTGTGCGACTTATCCATGTTGGCCTATAAATCCTTCACAGGAGATTCGCCTAATGCATGAAGTACCTTTCTCTAGATTTCTTGACTTTCTGTGGATACCAGTGAAGTATATCCATCAGGTTCTTGAATCTTATTACCTGATCAGGCTCATCTTTTTTATTTTCTGGTCATACATCTCTCCAATGACATCCTTTATTGCCACTTCTCCACAATCTTTCATTCATAATGTTTTGTAGCCTGCTTAAACCTACCATGTGCCTCTCCATAGGCATTTGTGTGGTAGGTAACATTAATTCTTGGAGGACTTTGGTTTTCTATGACTGAAAGCCAGATTACATCATCAAGAGAATATGGCTGTTTAAAAGTGTCATAATCACAGCACTTTAGAACTGGAAAGGACCTTAGAATTCTCTATGCCATCCCCCTCTTCAATATCTTTTCCAGAAATGAAATCTGCCACTGTCATCTTCCCAACACTTCTCATGACTCCAGCTTTGGCTCAGGAGTGGCTTAAGGAAAAGAGTCTGGTTCATTTTGTCAGCAGGTATTCAGTCATTTTCTGCCCTTGAGATTTGACAAACACACGTTGTGTTTCTGTGAGTCATGACCATTCTATTCTCTATCACAAAAATGCTCATCTGCTTTTGTTTGGCTCCTTGGTGATAAATCATTTTTAGGCATGAACTTGATGCCATGTTTCAGGGAAAATATACAACCGCCATAAAATAAATAGTCTTCCTATTTTGGGCCTGAAGACAACTAAATTTGGATTCTTTCCCATTTTTAAATCCTGAATAATAGAATGAAAGACTAAAGTAGCTCTTCTACCCATTCAGATTCCAACATCCCCACTGCCCATTCAATAAAAAGTATATGTGTGAGTGAGAGACAGACAGGAAAAGAGACAGAGAGAGAGAGAAGGAGAAAAAGAGAGAAAGGAGAGAGAGAGAGAGAGAGAGAGAGGGAGAGGGAAAGAGAGAGAGAGAGGGAGAGGGAAAGAGAGAGAGAGAGGGAGAGAGACTTAACTATAGTGTATCACCTCCTTATTCAAGTCTGAGCCAAGAACCGGATTTACTTCAAAATGTAGGAATGCTTTCCATCTGAAGGAGAAAAATGGTTATATTCATTTGTGTTACTTTATCCCAATCACTTTCTGAACGTGTGTGTAATGTGGTAAATATGCTCATATTCAGCATCTATATGGGCATACAAATAATCCATAATTCACTTCCACCTTTTTCAAACAGGGGCACTAGCTGAAAATTAAGAAATCATAACATGGAGATAATAAAAGCACCTACCTCCTAGGATTGTTGTGAGGATCAAATGAGATCATAATTGTGAAGGGTTTAGTACAGTGCCTGGTACATAGTAAGCTATATATAAATGTTAGATGGTAGTGGTGGTGGTAGTTGTTTTAGTAGTAGTAGTAGTAGTAGTAGTAGTAGTAGGAATAGTTCTCAGACAAAAGACACACCACACAATCCTTCACTAGAGCCAAACTAAGCCTTTCCAGTTTTGTAGACTCTGTCAGACCTAGTTCAGCCTTGGAGAACCCCACATCATTTCTACATTGGCACTGGAGGAACACTTTGTGAGAAAATATTGTGTACACAGATAACTATAATAAAAGGTACAATGTAAAAGGGCAATCCAATGAATACAAAGAAAATGTTATGGAAATTCAGAAGAGGGAGAGATTAGCTTTAATTCAGAAGAGGGAGAGATTAGCTTTTATTTAGAAGGTTTTGTAAGATTCTAACCTAAATTTCTTTTCACAGTTTAAACTATTTCTTACTTTTCTCATCCTCAGTGAAAAATGTCATGAGCCTCTCTAACCTTAGCTTAGGCTAGACACATACTATCTGGCCAAGTTATCCTGGTCAAGTCACTTAGCCACTGTTTCCCTCAATGAAAATAGAAAACAATAGCCCACCACCACTCATGCATGACCCCTTGTACACTTAGAAGCAGACAAAATAGGAGCATTTATTAAGCGTCTACTAAATGCCTCTGCATCACAGTGTAGGGTAGAGCCTTATATAGGAAGCAGAAGTCCTTTCCTCCAGGAGTTTTCATATGAGAGAATAGGCACACTTGAATAGGGAAGATACATGTTAAGATATTTATAACTTATTAGTACTATGTCTAGTGCTCTAGAACATGATGATGGAATTAGTCATTCATGCTCAGGTTACTCAAAGCTGCATTTTATTTTTATTATGGCCACCTATATTTTGTTAAGCCATCTATATACCCCAAAGATAGTTCCTATGTTTCCTCTGATACATTTACTATATCTGTGCAAGCTTCCTAAAAGTTAGATGAAGACCCTCTTGGGATACATTGAAGAAAAGCATTTCTGCGTGGTTGACCAATGTTTTTTTCAAAGTTGAACTTGAGAAAAGATCATTTAACAAGAAGTATCTCTAATCTTTCTACACACATATTACAGGGTTGAAGTGATGATGAGGTCTGAGTATCTGCTGTCTATATAGCCTGATGGATAAAGTAAGGGTTTTCATTAAGCACAGCACTATGGCGCTCCTGATTACTCCCTTTCCACTCAATTAACGAAATGAAGTTTCCCTCTAAAAGGCCTACTCTCTTCTGCGCTTCTTATTTGGATGTTGGAGAAGCTGCATATGTAAAATTATGAGACTTCTTCTGCTAATATTCCAATCCTACCCAAATTCACAGTGAATCATAGTTGGTTGTGTGGAAATCTGCTATCTTTAGCTTTAATTAGATCATGGAGTTCTGGGGTCCATTTCTCTGAGCGGGTCAGTCAAGGGGTGATAGTAAAATCTGCCCTTTTGCCTGAGAGTATTGTCCCTGAGGGATATAATCAGGTAGTCTAGGGGTAATAATATTGAGTCTCTACCCACATTCTACACTGCCCATAGCTCAGATAACTCAGTTGCTCCAAAAAAAAAGGTCAACTGGAAGGGAAGAGGGAGAAGTAGCTTAAATTACAAGAGGAATTCAGGTTCAATAGCCTGGTGTCTGATTTGTCTCTAGTACAATTGGCCAGATGGAAAGACAGCCCGCAGAAATGAAAGAGGGCTGGGATTGGTGTACTGAAATCTAGTGATAGTGATTTGACAGGAAGAAAAGTTTTAATTGAGGCCACCTCTGTGGTGTTTCCTAGGAGTAAGAGCAGCAGTTGTTTTCTCTTTTAAAGAAAGTGGGGAAATGAATCAAGATAGCTACTAATCCAAAACCCAGACGAAAACAGAGAAATACCATAGAGCTGTTCCTAGTTAAATATACATGATGCAGAGAAAAGCAGACATCTCCAGTGGAACATACTTCACCTTATTGAAAAATAGGGACTCCCACATACAAATACACACACACACACACACACACACACACACACACACACATTTCCCTCCTTTTTATCAGCCTCTCTCCTCCCCTGGGCCCCTGCAAGCAGGCATGAAAACAGTACTACTGTTACCTCCTAAACATGCCAAGAGGCTTTCTCTGCTTTGTTCATTTCCATTGTCCAGCTTTGTTCTTGCCTGTATACAGCACCGTTTTCAAATGTCAGAACTTGCAGCATAAATCTTTCCCAGGCTCCTCTTCCTTACCCTTCATTCCTACCCCCACCACAACACACACACACACACACACACACACACACACACACACACACACACACACACACCCCAACTTTCCAGGCTTTTTCAGTATGAACTCATGAGCACTTACATTAAGAAAAATATCAATAGCTTCCTAAGATATAGAGGCAACACTAATTTCTCTGTCTTACTAGAAACAGTTCTACCACTTTGTCATTTACATCTCTGCCATTTTGTTGTTCTTACTGCAGTTACCATTAGTGAGTAGGTGAGAAGAACCATACTTTCAATGCATATATTTCATCAGAGTTTACTCCACTCCTTCTGAAGTTGTGAATCCAACCAGGCAGGTGTATATGCATAGCACATGTATGAGTTCACAAAAGGGAGACTTACCTGCCGACGAGTAAGAACTCTCCTACAACTCCCAAACGTTTCATGGCGCTCAGGAGCCCTCTGACTGTCATTCCTTCACAGAAACAAACCACCACTCTGGCCTTGGGTAGCCTCTCTCGCAGCTTGCGCAGAAGCCGATCGAAGCTTTTCTCCCCGGAATTGCTATAGATTTTGTCTGAGTGAGCAATGCATAGGCCTTCCTGGGCAGCCAGCTCTTTGAAAGCATCCATTCCACTTTCCCCATAGTTTCCTAATCAAAAACAAATGACAAGTGTTTATAAGCAGTATAGTACTATGTTCTACCCCCCTCACTTCTGACTCAGCTTCTCTGGTTTCCTTGAAGATTCAGCTCAAATGCTACCTTTTTCTGGTTCCCCCAACCTCCCTTCTCTCCTCCCAGTGCCATCTCTCTGAGATTACCTTCCTTCTATTTTGTATATATCTTATGTGTATGTGATTTTGTCTCCCACATTAGAATATGAGCTCCTTGAAGGCAGGGATTCCTTTTGCCTTTCTTTATATCCCCAGTGTTTAGCACAGTGCTTGGCCCATAGTAAAGGTATGGTAAATATCCAACTGATTGTCTGAAAATGGAATAGGTAGGAATACTTCTAAACCTCTTCAACCCAGATGAGAGTAAGGTTCCAATATTACCAGTCCTTCATCCCCATCTGCTTCCTCTGTATTAGTTCTTCCTTTCATGGCCAATTTTTATGAGATAACTAGAAGTATGTATAGAATAATTTTACATATGTATACCTATTTGTGTCTAAAGGCAGCCATCTCTAGGGCAGGGGGAAGGGGAAGAGAAGAAAAAAAAGAAATTTACGTGATAATTTTGATGTATATTTGAAAGAAATATCAAGCTGTGTGTAGTAGATTTAGTTTTGTGTACAATCATCTTTTTTTATTGTACTTGTTATAGAAATGTTTGTTTTATTCCATAAATTAAAAATAATTTTAAAATGGAATAGGTTTCACTGATTAAAGAATTTCAGAGTTGGAAGTCACCTCGGAGGCTGGTTGATCCACACTATTCTTGGACAAAAAGCCTTTTTACAGCACCGCCCCCCCTTCAACAAGTGCTTGGTCTTCAGTTTCCACTTGAAAACCTGAAGGGATGGGGAACTCTTGACTTCTCAAAGCAGATCATGTCACTTTTAGATAATTCTAATTGGTAAGAAGTTTGTCATGACACAAATTTGCCTCTTGATAACTTTCAACCCGTTGTTCCTCATTCTGACCTCTGGGGTCCACCAGAACAAGTTTTCTCTCTCTTCCAAATGACAGCCCATCAAATATTTGAAGACTGCCATTGTATCTGCAGCTGTAAGGTATATTCTCATGACTCACTAAATGAAAATGTCTGGTTGGTGAGAGAAGACAGGCATATTAAATGACATTAAAAATATAAGGACATAAAATAAATGTCTGAGCTGTCTAGATTATAAATGTTTTAGGATTTCAGAGATATCAATGAGAGATCACTCTGGTCCAGAGGAGACATCACAGATGAAATCTTGAAGGATGGGTAGAATTTGGATAATTACAGAAGATGATTCAATTTTTTACCTTTTTTGTATATATTTCATCTACTTATTTCTATACATATTGTGTCAACCAAGAGAATGGTAAGCTTCTGAAGATGAGGAACCGCTTCATTTTTATATTTGTGTCTCCAGTACCTACAGCAGTGCCTGGCACATTAATAGGTACTTAATTTGTTTATTGATTAATTGAAAAGAAAAGAAGGCATTTTAGGAGGCAGCAAAGGTACATGGTAGGAATTCAATTCATTTCAAGAATCATTTAACTTTCAGCTTGTATCCCACAAAAAAACTATGCTAGGGTGGAGGAAGATACAAAGTTTAAAAAAGGTGTGGCCTTCGTACTCTCATGTAGCCTAGAATCTAATAGAGAAAAAAAAAATAGAAATAACTCACATTGTATATTACTTAAAGGTTTACAAAGCATATAAGATGTGTGGGTGGAGACACTGAATAAACAAGGTTGGTTAAAGAGAGGTGATTTAGACCATTACTATACAAGATATATTTTAATGTGGAATTGGGGTTATCATTATGAAATACATAAGTTGGGAAATTGCATTTAAGAGATTTGCAGAGTTAGAGCTAGAAAGATCTCAGAAGCCATCAAATCCAATTCCTTCATTTTGCAGATGAGGAAACTGAGGCACACAGAGGTTAAGTGACTTGCCCAGGATCACACAAATAGTGTCTAAGGCCTTCCTAACACCAATTCCATCCATCTATTCACTATGTCCCCTAGCTGTCTCATGTTCTGGCAGAATGTGTCACTCGCCTGGTATATCGTCTAAAACACAGAGCTCAATACATAAGTGACATTTGATGATAATAGTATATTAAAATCAATTCCATGATATGTCAACTTGTAATTCTCAACTGCTTGGGATATCTAAGATGGAAGGCAGTACAAATTATGAGTAAATAAAGGAATTGTGGTGGATCAGAGATATCATGCTGAGAACATGTGAATTTACTGATACCGCCTGATAGTTGTTTACTGTAGCTGTTTTGCTCATTAAAGGTATCCAGGTGGTGGATAGAGTCCTGCACTTGGAATCAGAAATACAGGAGTGAAAGCAGTGGCTTGCTTGAGCTCTCCCCCAAACCCCTCCAAATACTCATCAAAAATGGCTCTAAACAAATTCTGAAGCAGCAGAACCCACAAAAAGACAGAGTGAAACAAATTTCCAGACCAAGACAACCTGGAAGATTGATCAGAAAGGCGTATCGCGCCGGACTGGGAGAGCAGCTCAGTGCGGCGTGGGCGCGCAGGCCGCAGCAAATCTGGAGCAGGCCTCAGAGGACTGAATCGCCGGCAGCTGTGGAGGTTTCCAGACTCCTCAATCCACGAATGCCAAAGACTACTTAGAAGCTCAGTGGGAAAAGTCTGCTCAGAGAGGAAGGCGGGGTTTCAGTTCCATTCCCCATGAGCTTGGCCCTGGGGAGGGCGGGGCAGCTGCTTCCTGAGCTTCCGGCCCACAGACTGAGGGGGAATCCAGTGGCTGATCAGAGAGGGATTGCAGGGATCTCTTTGCCAGTGCTAAGGCAGGAATCTCTTGCTTTGCCCATGTTTGGATCTGAATCACAGTTCTGGGCAGCGGTGCTGGGGTGAGGAGGAGCGCTGGCCTGGTGGAGCTTGTAGTGGCTGTAAAGAGGAACCACTCCTCACAGGTACAGGACAGAAAGGAGTACTTGTGGTCACAGGCCAGGAAAGGAGTAAAAACACCTCACCCCTTATCATACCACCTTGGAAGAATTGAAAATTTACAGGTCCCTATAAGTATCTCTGAAAACAGCTACATAAACCCCTGATGCTTGGGACAGTACATTCTTCACATTGGAAGGAGACTCTTACCTTAACAAAGAGTTTAAAATTCAAGTAATTGGCCGAGATCATGAGCAAGCAGCGCAAAAAGAGACTATATTATCTTACTTTGGTGAAAAAGATCAAAATATACGACCAGAAGAAGACAACAAAGTCAAAGCTCCTACATCCAAAGCCTCCAGGCCTTGGAAGAGCTCAAAAAGGATTTTGAGAAGCAAGTAAGGGAAGTAGAGGAAAAACTGGAAAGAGAAATGAGAGTGATGCAAGAAAATCATGAAAAACAAGTCAACAGCTTGCTAAAGGAGACCCAAAAAAATACTGAAGAAAATAACACCTTAAAAAATAGCCTAACCCAAATGGCAAAAGAGGTCCAAAAAGCCAATGAGAGAAAATGCCCTAAAAAGAAAAATTGGCCAAATGGAAAAGAAAGTCCAAAAGATTGCTGAAGAAAATACTTCCTTAAAAATTAGAATTAGAGCAATTGGAAGCTAGTGACTTTATGAGAAATCAAGATGCTGTAAAACAAATCTAAAAGAATGAAAAATTAGAAAACAATGTAAAATATCTCATTGGAAAAACAACTGACCTGGAAAATAGATCCAGGAGAGAATTTAAAAATTATTGGACTATCTGAAAGCCATGATCAAAAAAAGAGCCTAGACATCATCTTTCAAGAAATTATCAAGGAAAACTGCCCTGATATAGTAGAACCAGAGGGCAAAATAGAAATTGAAAGAATCCACAGATCTCCTCCTGAAAGAGATCCCCAAAGGAAAACTCCTAGGAATATTATAGCCAAATTCCAGAGTTCCCAGGTCAAGGAGAAAATATTACAAGCTGCCAGAAGGAAACAATTCAAGTACTGTGGAAACACAATCAGGATAACACAAGATTTAGCAGCTTCTACATTAAAGGACCGCAGGGCATGGAATATAATATTCTGAAGGGCAAAGGAGATAGGATTACAACCAAGAATCACCTACCCAGCAAAACTGAGTATAATCCTTCAGGGGAAAAAATGGTCATTCAGTGAAATAGAGGACTTTCAAGCATTCCTGATGAAAAGACCAGAGCTGAATAGAAAATTTGACTTTCAAATACAGGACTCAAGTGGAACATGAAGAGGTAAACAGGAAAGAGAAATCATAAGAGACTTATTAAGATTGAACTGTTTACATTCCTGCATGGAAAGATGATATTTATAACTCATGAGACCTTTGTCAGTATTAGGGTAGTTGAAGGAAAAAAAATTATATGTATGTATAGATAGATAGAGGGCACAGGGTGAGTTGAAGATTAAGGGGTCATATCTAGAGAATAAAATTAAGGGATGACAGGATGATACTTGGAGAAGAAGAAAGGGAGAGGTAGAATGGGGTAAATTATCTCACCAAAAAAAAAAACAGAAAAGAAAAGTCTCTTACAGTGGGGGGAAGCAGGGGAAGGTGAGAGAGAATGAGTGAATCTTATTCTCATAGGATTTGGCTTAAGGAGGGAATAACATACACATTCAATTGGGTATGGAAATCTGTTTACCCTACAGGAAAATAGGGGAGAAGGGGACAAGAGACAGGGGGATGATAGAGAGGAGGCAGATTGGGAAAGGGGTAATCAGAAGAAATACTTCTGAGGAGGACAGGGTCAAAAGAAAGAATAGAATAAAAATGGAGAGGCAGGATAGGATTAAGGGAAATAGAGTTAGTTTTTCACAACATGTCTGCTATGGAAGTGTTTTGCATAACTGCACATGTATAACCTATATTGAGTTGTTTGCCTTTTCAGTGAGGGTGGGTGGGGAGGGAGGAAGAGAGAAAATTTGAAACCTAAAGTTTTAAAAACATACATTTAAAAAAATGTTTTCACATGCTACTGGGAAATAAGAAATACAGGAGATGGGGTATAGAAGTCTATCTTGTCCTACAGGAAAATAGAAGGGGAAGGGGATAAGAGAAGGGGGGAGAGATAGAAGAGAGGACAGACTAGGGGAAGGGATATTCAGAATGCATGCCATCTTGGGGTGGGGGGAGGGGTGAGATGGGTGAAAATTTGGAACTCAAAAACTTGTGGAAGTGAATGTTGAAAACTAAAAATAAATAAATTTATATTTAAAGAATGAAAAAAAAAGAAATACTGACCACAAATATGGCCTCAGCTCTTACTAAGTTACTAACTTGCACGACCCTCATTTAAACACTATCTGCCTCAGATTATTCATTTGTAAAATGGACATAATAATAGCACCTATCTCTAAAGTTTGTTGTGAGGATAAAATGAGGCACTATTTGTAAAACATTTTCAAAACCATAGATAGTTATATAAATGCTAGCTAGTGTGGCTAGTATAGTGCTCACTTAAGCTAATCCTTGAAGATAGGATTCAGATCTATGTATGGATAGAAGGGGTGACGGGTGTCCTGTGGTGGATGGGGAGAGACATTTTCCAGCAAGAGGAAATGTCCAAAAGTAAAGAGATATAAATGGAATAAGGTATTTATGGGGTTCTTGTGGGAGTGGGGGGAAGGGAGGAAGAGAGGTACACAATGACTCTATAAGTGACAAAGAAATTAAACAATAATTCAAAGAATCATAGTATTTAGAGCTGGAAAGAACCTTCTGAGCTCAATAATTGTTGAAGATTTAAGTTGTGATATTATATTTTCCAAGTAATACAGAGTACTAGAGAATTTGAAATTAATCTAATCACAAACCAGACTATCGGTGGTTACAAATACACTGTAGGTATTCTCAAACTGAATTAAGAGATTAGACCTTAAATGTATGAGACACTTAACAGACAAGTGAGATTAGAAATCCCTAAAGGATATTTGGAAAGAAAATGAAGAGACAGATGTAGAGATAGCTATGTCTAAAAGGATGAGACAAGAATAAAATTATTGAAAACAGGTGTCCAAAGTAGAAAAAAAAAAGAAAGAAATTTGTCAGAAAAGATTGATGAAGATACATGAGATGTATTGACCTGGGTATGAGTTAGGTACAGAAATTTAGTTACAATTCAACAAGACTGATGAAAGATTTACTTAAAGTAGATTGATTTGTAATAGCGTGGCAGACAAAGTTGGGGTTTTTTTAAGTGTCATTGAATAAACCAACCATGAAATGAAATGAGTCTGTGTGTCATAATCTCCTGTATGAATGATGTTGAGAAGCAAGTGCTATCAATTAAGCCTTCTGAGTGATTTCTCCTTGAACTCTCACAAAGTTGATGATGATTCAAAATACAATAGGAGCTCCATCTGGTGGCTAATGTAACACATCTGGCCATTATGTGGTATCAAGTTCAAATCCTGTTGATTTTTTTTTTGTTAAGTACTCACATATTTTTCCACTGTCAAACAACTGTGTTTTCAACATCAATTATCTCTTTCATTGCAAGTCATTCTTCCTTTGTCCAAAGGTATTCCAAATAACTAATTTTAAAAATGAAATGCCAAAGAATCATCTTTAAAATGCTAGGCAACTAGGACTATAAATGATAAACTGACTGAGGAAGGACTGTCTCCATTCTGCTGCTCTCTATAAATATTCATTTATCTTTTTTATAGTTTTTCACTGGCACATTTAATGGTTTGAGAGTAAAATTATGTGATAGCAATTATTTCTGTCAATACTCAAAATGAAGCAAGAGAAGGCACCTTCCCCCTAAGTACAATACACATTTGTAGAACAGTTTAATAGTTAAGTGATCCAGAAATTGGAAATTGGGCACTGAGTCATTAGGAGAAATAAATCAGTGTAAGAAGGCTATGAAGCATGAAGGCAGATATGATGAATGTGACAGCTGATTGTGTGAAATGAAAGGTCAATGATACAATAAGCATGATTCATTTGAACTAAGTTAATTGTGAGGGCTACCTGTCTTGGGCTCAAGCAAGAAACAGAATTTAAAAAAGAAAATATGTACAACTTAGGGAAAGTGGATGGTATGCCAGCACTGCTTTAAATGATAGCTAGCTATGTTATCAGGGCCTGGATTCTCAACTGATAGAAGCTCCTAGATTTCATTGTTTACTGACACTAAACCACTAGGAGATTTTGACTACAGTAATTCTATGTTTGAGTTTGCCTTTTTTTCGTCTTCAGAAAATAGGCATAATTCTATTAGACTTCTGGTGAGTCGTGTCCATATTGTTCTTTAAAAACAAATAATATATGCTACGGAGAGAGGGTTTGGGGGGAGTCAAACTTGTTCTGTGTTGTTCCAAAAAGTAAACTAGGCTCACTTGGTGTGAATTACAAGGAAGCAGGGTTTTTCAAAGAAAAGAAAGAACTTTCTAGTGACGAGGGCAGACTAGGCTACCTCATGGGAAAATGTTCTAATATGCCACCTTCAGGTACTCAAGCTGTAAGTGGATGGCCATATGTCAGGGATTTTCTGGAAGGAACTGTCAGCATCGAGTGATGAATTGGACTAGATGACCTTGACTATTCTTAGTCTGTTAGTCATTTTTCCATGAAAGTTTAATAGGTTTTAAGATTTCATATATAATAGCATTATCAGTGGCTTTTAGAGGAAAAAGAGCAAAGTAAAAACTTCAATATGAGGGTTATAAGAAGAGTTACAGAATCACAGAATCTCAGAATTGGAATAGACTTTAGAGATAAGGCTTCTTAACCTAGGTCCATGAACTTAAAAAAAAAACTTTGATAAATCTATTTCATCATAATTGGTTTTCTTTGTAATCACATGCTTCATTTTGTGCACTTGAAAACATTCTGATAAGAAGTCCATATTCTTGACCAGACTGACAAAGGAGTCCGTGATGCAACATAAATAAATAAATAAATAAGAACCCTTGATCTGGCTAAAAAAAATGCTCTTCAACATTATAGCTGGCAATTGATCATTGAGTCTTTGCTTGAAAATCCATCTATCAAAGTATCCCATTTCATTCTTGGATAGCTCTAATTGATAAGACATTTTCCCTTTTATAAGCCTTAAATTTGCCTCTTAGCTACTTCTGTGTTACTTCTGGTTTTGCCCTGTAAGAATAAGAAAAATAAGTCTGATTTGTCTTTTAAGTCCTTCAAATACTCAAGTATAGCTAACTTGTCTCCCATAATACTTCACTCTCTAGAGCGAACATGCTAAGTTCCTGTGACCAATCTTTTTTAAATTATTTTTTTCAATCAACAAGCATTTATTTTTTCTTCCCAACACTGAAAAGGAAAAACAAAATCCTTGTAACAAATACGCATAGTCCAGCAAAATAAATTCCCACATTGGCCATATTCAAAAATGTGCATTTCATTCTTCATCTTTAGTCCATCACCTCTCTGCCAGAAGAAGGGTAGCTTTCTTCATCATTGGTCCTCTGGAGTAATAGCTGATCAACACATTGATTAGAGTTCTCAGATCTTTCAAAGTTATTTACTTTTGAAAGTGCTGTTGCTATAATATAAGTCATTTTCCTGGTTCTGTTCACTTCAATCTACATTTGTTTTTATAAAGTACAAGCTCATGTTCCTTCACCATCCTAGCTGTCTTCCTCTGAGGCCTTATTTTCAATAAGGAAATTAAAAAAAATATCCCAATAGAATATGTGATTTAGTAACAATTTCTCTTTTCTCTCATGTGTCCAGTAGCTATGATGATTAACTCTCATAATTACCCCATTATGTTTTTTCCCCAGAGTAAATGTTTAGTTCTGTTGCTGTTCCCAGCTGGCCTTCAGCTTAAGGAACAAAAGAAAGGGGGAAAATGGGCATGAAGAAAGCACTTTCTGTACAAAAGCTCTCATCAAAGAAGATTCCTCCTGAGTTGAGATGGAAAAGATGCTGCCATTCACCATTCTGCCGCAGCATTATGAGTCTACCATTGTTGCTAATACAGGGGTACAGAGGTAAGTAACTTGGATAGCCACATGTGTGCTAATGTTTTTTGTTCTATCTGACATCAGACTTCATTAATTTGTTGGGGTACAACGATGACAATCCTAATCTGTTCATTGCTCAGCTGGTGAAGTATCTCCAGGTAGGATAATTTTCTAATGTAATGTGCTGGATACCAGTGTCACTTGAGTTTAGATACTTCTTATCTAGGTTACTGAAAAATGTTCTATGGAATTTTCTGCAATGATCACCATGATGTTCTTAAATTTATGATTATTATCTAGATATATAGATACTATAAATTGCCTAGTTATGATTATTACCCATGGAGCCAAGTATCCAACCCTTGCTATATGCTTTTCAATAGGAAAGAGGCATTATGGAATCTGAAATAGGGAACATCTTTCCCCTTCTATCTTGCAAAAACCTATTCCTTTTTCTCCCTGAACACCATGCCTCCTCCATACATCTGCTGGTTTTTTCTATATTTAAATGTTTTCCTTTGTTTCTGGGTTATTGAAGGTTTTTGGGGTGGGGGGAAGAAGGAATGGGGAGCATTTTTTGTAAACGGAAAAGCCAAAACTGGCTACTGGTGTTAAATAGCTGGAGAAATTTTGGTAGCTCTAATCAAAGAGCAGAGATTTTCCTAGTGGTTTTTATGGGGTGGGTGGTGACAGTGACATCATGTCAGATATTGCCACTCCACAGGTTGGTAGGCTTTCCCACTAAGAGGCTCACTCTACCTGAATAAAGAAGCCCCTCCCAGTAGCCTGACATCAGAATCCCATAGCCTTCTAGGTACCAAAACTCTTATTTTTTTTCCCTCTAAAACTGCTTATCTTCATGGTTTAATCATTCACTGAGTCAAAATTAGAGAAAAAATGATTTTTTTAAAAATTTCAGCTCAGGTCTATAGATTAAGTTCCTAGAAGGAAGGTATCTCACACACACACACACACACACACACACACACACACACACACACACACACAAATCCAAGGTGTATAATATTCCAGTGTTTTACTTAGGGTCTTAAAGAAGGAAATTTTATTTCTTTTTTCAATTAAAATTTTATTAACTTTTTTCATTTCTACATATCCTAAATTTCCCTCTGTATCTTCCCAAATTCTTCCCCAAAGAGTTATCCTGTACAGAAAAAAAAATATTTGGAATTTTTATTTCTTAAAAACTTTAGGAAATTCCCTTTCTTTCCCATTTTGCCTGATTTACCTAGGTTTTGTCCTAGCTTCCTATTTCCCTGACCCCTATATCTCCTTTTCTGTTCTAAGTATTCAAAAGTAGTCTCAAACTCCCACATAAGTCTTCACTATTCCTCAGCTGAGGTCATCAGCCAATCACTGGCAGAAATTATGTTCATTAAACTCCCTCCTTTCAAGCAAGTCTCTGAAAAGTTAAGAAGTAATCCACATTTTTAAAAGATGTTCCAATGAAAGAGATTCCATAATCTCCTCTGGAAACAGTATTCAACCATTGTTGCTCAGAAATCCAAATCCTTTAAGATGAAATCTAACCCTATTTCCTTTCCTTATATTTCTATAGAATAGGAAACTGGCCATGACCCATTTACAGAAAACTTTCATGCTTTAAAAGTTGTACTTCAGCCTTCTCTTCTCTGTGGCTAAAGGACCCTAAAAGCATACATTCATTCATTCAGCAAGCATTAAGTACCTCCTAAGTGCCAGACACTGTGCTAAACAAACAAAAAAAATGAACCAGTCCCTCCCCTCAAATTCACATTCTATTGAGAAAGAAGCAACATGTATACAAAAATCAAATATTTCATATATATATATACACACACACACATACATATTATATAGATATGGTGCATAATTTTGGGAGCTAGATATAGGGTACAGGGAGGTTTCAGGATAAGCTTCTTGTAGGAAGAACTTTTCTACCCTTTAGTTAGTTCAGTTTTCCCATTTCACACTTGGGAAAGACATTTGCAATGTGTTTGCAGTTGTTGAGAGAAGAATCTCTCTCTCTCTCTCTCTCTCTCTCTCTCTCTCTCTCTCTCTCTCTCTCTCTCTCTCTCTCTCTCTCTCCCTCTCTCTCCCTCTCTCTCTCTTTCCTCTCTCTCCACATTCCTCCCTCCACATCTTCTATCTTCTGTTATATGCAGAGTTAGGCCTGCCAACTAAGAGGTGAGCCAGAAGCTGTCTGAGGTAGTGCCCAGGGATAATGGCCACTTGACCACAATGTCTTTCATAGTTAGTATAAAAACCAATGTTGTCCAGGGCTTCAGGGAGGCTGATGAGTGCATGATAGTGGAACCCTGGAGAACTCTTATCAGTGCTTCTTCTATACTGCTCCTTCCCTTTCCCCAACTATGTTCCACTTCAGAGAATCAGAGCCCACAAGTAAAACAAGAGGGGAGGGGCAGCTAGGTGGTACACTGGATAGAGCTCCGGCCTTGAAGTCAGGAGGACCTGAGTTCAAATTTGACCTCAGACCAAATACTTGACACTTACTAGCTGTGTGACCCTGGGCAAGTAACTTAACCCCAATTGCCTTAAAAAAAAGAGGGGGGGTGAGAACTGTTTCATTCACCCCTACATGATGATTTTTGAGTTGAATCAACTTGATCGTTTTATTTTGAACTCCCTCCAAGTTCTCCACATGATTTAAGATGTAGATACATAAATTTGACACAAGGCTATAAAGACTGGAGCAGCGTGGAGCATCATGGGAAGATTGCCTCATGATGCCTTTAGTCTATACTCCTGTTTTTCAATGTCATAATTGTTTTACTTTTTTTCTTAATTACAGAACTTCATTGTTGACTCACGATCACCTTGGTGTTCCCTGATGAGCCCTAGACCTTTTTCTGCTTCACTTGCAAATAGTCAGTCCTTCCTTGTTTTATATTTAGACTGCTGATTTAAATCCTTAAATGTACTGTACTACTCTACTTGTTCCAATGAGAATTCATAACAAAATTATGAAATCCCCTTTAGTCCCACAGTCACTTCAATTCAATACCTCCAATCAGTTTTTCAAGCCCTGGAGACTGCGCCTCAGTAACGTGTCTGCTATTTGGAGGCAGCTCGATGCTGCAAAGGATAGAGCAGTGGACCTGGAGTCAAGAAGATCCGAGTTAAAATCCAGCTTCAGACACTTCCTAGGTGTGTGACCCTAGACAAATAATTTAACTTTTCTCACTCTCAGTTTCCTCATCTGTTAAATGTGGATAATAATAGCCCCCTATCTCCCAAGGTTATTTTGAGGATCAAATAAGGTAATTTTTAAAGTGCCTTACAAACCTTAAAGCACCACATAAATGCTACTTATTATTATTTTTTTCATCATCCTCATCTTCCCTCATTGGTCCCCTCCATTCCATTCCTGCTTCTATCAAACCAGTGCAGACACGTTATCTCTGTATCATAGACTATTACATGGACTATACCTCTATTCTCACCCTACTCTGACCCCTATTTTTTGCCCCATTAACAAAGCTTCAGTAGTTCAATTATATCATCACAAAATCTTTGATGAGTCTCCATTACCAATAAAAGTCCAAAGGCCTCAACCTTCCATTTAAAATCTCTCTTTCCAACTACATCTTCTACTACTCTTCCGCGTTCTCTATCCTAGCTAAATCAGACTATTTTCCACTTGCCAAATTTACTCCCATGATTTCCTGCCCCCATGCCTTTACTCATATTCTTCCTTCCAAGGTGAATGTTCTTCCCCTACATATCCATTCTTCAAGGAATAGGCCAAATACAACAATCTGCAAGATTGTCTCCCCTAACCACATATGATCTCCTCTTTCTCGGAGGATCCATGGCACTTTGCTTGTGCCTTCCTTATAGTACTTGTCATAGTAAGAGCTCAAGGGCAGGGACAGTATCTTCCTTCTCTATGTATTACTTGCAATGCCAGGCTTGGTGCCTGGCTCCTCACAGATATTCAGTAGATAATAATTGAATTGAATTTAGTTTTTCTTTTAAAATAGTAACCATAGCCATCCTGTAAAGTCTAATACTGATGTCTCATCTCGGCATAAAGTGCATTCTGGGCTTTTAATGGCTATGCCAGCAGAATACAAGAGCTGGCAAGTCTTAGCGGTATGGAAAGTCTTTAAGTATGTACCTGGCAAGAGACTCTCTGTCTTTCATAACCAGCTATGCTGAATTTAAAAAGGCTTTTTATCAGAAGCTGTTGCCCCCACCCCAGCAACTCTTGAACCAACTAGAAGATATAAAAAAGTTTATGGAGAAATACTTCTGAAATCGTGGAAATTTTGAAGTAATAATAATAATAGCTTAAATTTGGAATTATGCCCAAAGGGCTATAAAACTGTGCATACCCTTTGACCTAGCAATACCATTTCTAGGCCCGTATCCCAAAGAGATTAAAAAGAAAAAAGAAAAAAGAAAAAGGACCTAAATGTACAAAACATTTTATAGCAGTTCTCTTTGTGGTGGTAAAGAATTGGAATTTGAGGGGACGTCCATCCATTGGGGAATGGCTGAACAAACTGTGGTATATGATTATGATGGAATACTATTGTGCTATAAGAAATGATGAGCAGGATGATTTCAGAAAACTTGGAAAGACTTACATGAACTGATACAGAGTAAAGTGAGCAGAACCAGGAGAATAGGGTAACATAATAATAATAGCAATATTATAAGGATGATCAACTGCGAATAACTTACCTATTTAGCAATACAATGATCTAAGATAATTCCAAAGGACATAGTGTGAAAAATGATATCCACTTCCAAAGACAGAACTAATAGAGTCTGAATGCAGAGCAAAGAATATTTTTTTTCTTTTTTTTAAAATTTGTTTTGGTCTACATTTTCTTTTACAACATGACCAATATGGAAATATGTCTTACATTATTGCACATGTATAACCTATATCAAACTGCTTGCCTTCTCAAAGTGGAGGAAGGGATGGAGGGAGAGAATTTGGAACCCCAAATTTTTTTTAATGAATATTAAAAATTGTTTTTACATGTAATTGGAAAAAA